CCCAATTTTCAGAACCCCAAGCTCCGAGTTTCAGGTTTCTTCTAAAACACAAATGTTTCTGAAATTTCTCCTAATACATCATGACTAAATGCCTTGGCCTGGGACTCCATGAACATGAGATCGCTTAGCAGCACTAGGCCACACTTCTCAGGCTGCTTCAGAGGACAGTGTTCTCCCTAGGATTGATGTCTACTTTAACACAAAGCCAAACCATAACCAGGAAAAGAGTAGATTACTGTGGTCTGGTCTGGGGCAGCTGCTTATTAACAAATGTAGGCCACAGAAATAATGCCAGATTCTTGCTACTCTGCTTCCTCCTCCTACCATTCACCAAAAAACAAAACAAAAAAAAAAAAAAAAAAAAAAGAGAGAATTTTTATTACCTACAGGTAAAAAAACTTCAAAGGTGCATGATATGGCTCGGAATATAATACCACAAGGAATAGATGCCTCATATAGGATGCTCTCCCCATTAGTACAGAACAATTTCTAGAAACTTCTAGAAATCCTGAATCTTGGCTCCTGGAAGGACAGGAATAGGTTTTTAATGCAAACTTCTCTAGAAAGCTGTTTCTTTCTCCACCTCTTTCTTTTTAAAAAAAAGTCTAAAAGTCTAAGTCTGTTTTTAGATATCTAATTAACTAAAAATAAAAAATTCTATCAGATGTGAATCTCCCCTTTTTACATGGAGAGGATGCTTAGATGGACCAAAGATGGAACTGGTGGGATTCATTCAAATACAAATCCTAAACAAAATAAATAGAAAAGCTGTGTGTTATATTTAGTATTGCAAACTTCACATAAGAGCAAAAAAAGGGTCAGAAAATAATCATCAAGGAAGTGTAAGATGCCGGAAAATTGCAAATTTATGGAAAAACTAAAAAATGTTTTTATAACTTTGTAACTTACAAATCACAATCTGGAGAATTTGTGCAGCAAAATGGGAAGTTTAATAAAAAAACAAATGTGGAAAATCTTCTATTATCACAATGTTGGCTAATGATTTTTTTTTTCTTTGACTCATTTATGTAATGATAAAACATTACCTTAAGAAGAAAAACTCTGAACAAGCCATTTAGTTGGAAAAAGAAGAACTTAAGGCAAAAAGACAGAGATGTTTGGGCTGAGGTCACTCAGCCCCTAAATTACACAACAGGGACTAAATCCCTGTGTCCCAATCCAGAGTTTTGGCCTCTGTCCCTTCCCCATCATGCTGTCATGGATTTTTTTCCCTTTATGTAACTGCTGGCTACACAGTCCCATTCTTGCTATAAAATGAACAGTTTTCACCTTTTATTGCCTCTTTACATGAAAAAAGGAATGGTCATCACCTCACAATCTGAGCATGTTAAAAAACACACAGACTTGGGGCTGCTAAGGAAATGTGGCACAGCTTGCCTTTGGTGTTCTGCGATAATGGGTTAAAACAGCTAAGATGAACTGTTTTTGAAAAGAAAATGTATGGCATTTGCATAATTTTGAGGCTCTCTTAATTGGCCCTTGGAAGCAGATGCACTAGGGACCACCCATGGAGATGTATATATTGTTAGAGCTGGCTGTTTCCCTCATTGTTACATGGTTATGCATAATTTTTAATTAGGGCTAATCTTTATATAGTAAATAGGTATGTCAACTAGAGTTTTCCATATTTATTCTTCAAACTTCATAAGGTACATCTGCTCCAAAAAATATCATAAGCCTCTAAATACCATGATTGCTAGGAAACAAAGCATTACCATAAGGAGTCTACCTTTCTTTAAAAAGAAAACGTTAATCCCTCGAATGGCATATTTATGCAGATAAGTTCTTTAAAAAAGATTCAGAGACATGATATTAAAAACTAGTCACTACAAAACTTCTGGTAAAAATAGGTGGGCTCAATAAGCATGCTAGCCTCAACTCCTTCCCTTAACCACCTTAAAATGATAAGTAATTTTAAAACAAGCAAACAACAATAAAGCATAAACTCATAAGGACAAGAATGAATGACGAGAGTAGTAAAAAAAAAAAAAAAAAAGCTAGAAAGCCAATGGACATGTGGCCCCTGACTTACCTGACATGAGAATGTAGAGTTCTATGGCAATAGTGGTGAAATAGTTCACGCGCACTGAGAACCAACCCCCTCACCCATTACTCAGGCACTGTTGGCACCAATACCTCTGCAGGTAGGGATAACTTCGAATGGGAGGATAGGTTCAAAGATGGCATAAAAGCAGTTAGACAAGTAGATTTCCTCTTCTGCTTTGTATAAACATTAACTGTTCTTCAGTAACCTAGCAGAGGTCTGAAAATCTATTATCCGGAGACGGTAAAACACAAGGTTTGTGGACTTACTGCAGGGCATCAGACACCGGAGAGAGCAAGCTACTGTACTGATACCAGGAGAATCAGCAAACCCTTGCATAGTAACTGTTAAGACCTCTTCTTTGCCCTGTGTTTCCATTCCCAAAACACTATCACCCCACACTCTGCTTTCAAGGCAAGGCAGCAGAAAAGACTTCCGACATGCTGGCCAGATCATCAGAGAAGACACAAAACATGTAAAGGTATTGAAATTGGTGTTCTATGACCCCCACTCAAGCCACCTTTTTCATAAAGTCTGCAGTTGATAAACTGGAAATATGTACAAAAAGCTCCTAAAACAGAAGCCAAAACAAAAGAAAACTGCGTCTTTAGGGAAACAAAAAAAATGCAAAGAGAAAAAATTTCAAAAAGTTATGACTAACATCTCTAGAGAAAAGTTTATGAAAGAAAAGCATGATGCTATTTTACAAAAAGGCAGTCAGGGATCAAAAATTAGACAATGGAAATTAATATAAAATATAGAAGAAATGAAATCCTAACAGAAAGTCTGAAAGATAATTTGAGATCACCTTCCATATATAGAGCAAAATAAATGGAAAACCATAAACAAAGAATAAGAAAATTAGGGAATAACATAGGAGGGCCATATTCCACACAACAGAAAATAGGAACGAAAATAATTAAATAATTTGGAAAAATCAAAAATTGGAGAACATGAATTTCAAGACGGAACAGAGTCTACTAAGTTCTCAGTACCGTGGATTAAAACAGATGAACACCAAGACATGTTCTTGTGTAATTTTGGAATACCAATCCTAAAAGCCTCCAGAAAAAAATAAGTAAATAAATAAAAAATGAGCATGGACTCAGACTGCTAGACCCTGAATACCAGCAGAAAATGGAGCCTTCAGTATTTTGAAGGAAAGTGATTTCCAGTCTAGAGTTTTATATATAGCTGACTGCTAATTAAGCATGAGAGAAGACTAAAGACTCCCATATCTGCAATATCTCAAAAATACTTCTGCTACACACTACCTTTGCTTCAAAACTACTGGAAGACAGATTCTACCAAAATAAAGAATGAAGAAAGAAGGTGAAATGGGGTTCAAGAAAGGGGCTACTCACCAAACAAAAAAGGCAAAGAAAGTCCTCAACATGATAGAGACACAAGTCAGAATGTTCTTAGAGTCATTTCTTCAAGGTGAAATAGATAAACTGCTTAATATATTTGAAAAGAATAAAAGGTATTTATATAATGTGAGAGAATTTAGAGACAATTTAGTGATAAGTATACAGAAAACTAAGCAAATAAAAAATGAGGTGACTATTTCTTCCAGAAAAAGTAAAAAAAAACGTACAGGAAAGAAAAAATGATTATATTATGTTGTTCAGTTACAAATGCATTTTATATAGTCTTAACAATGTAAATATAGAAAACAGATTTTAGGGTTTATATATCTTACTGGGAGATAGGGAGATAGAAATCACTTTTCTGGGGAGGGGTGAAGTTGTGAAAGGGGTGTGTTTATATATGGGAAAAAGGAAAAATTATAGCGTCCACAGAAGGAAGTTAATTGATAGCTTCAAAACAACAACAACAAAAAAATCTAGATGCAGCAACAAAATCTAGATGCAACAACATAAGAAATTTTATTTAAAATATAAAAAGCAGTTACCAAGGGAATGGCTAAAAAGATTTAAAGTGAATGCTCCTGGAAACCTAGAATGGTCTGGGGGTGTTCAGGGTTCCCCTTTTATTTTTTTGCAGCAACTCTCAGACAGATATTTTCCTTCTTCAAACTATTTGAATGTATAACCTTGACATTCAAAAGCCAAATTAAAATTTTAAAATTCTACAAAGACTAACCTCTGAACTTTCAACACTCCTAGAAACTTCTAGATCATTCCTATATCTTTATTGTTAATTTCAACTTGAATTTTCTTAACCAAGTTCATGTGAAGGTACTCCCTACCCCATTATGATACAGCTCTTCCTGTTTATGTCATTAGTCTATTTTTCTTAAATGACAAAGTTAACATTATTAATGCTATAACTGATTAAGATCACTGAGCCACTCCTGAAATCTGAGAATATATGCCTAGATCTAGACTACCAGAGCTCTTTAGACAATAAAAGAAATACACATTGCTTCTTCTTACTAATCATTGAAAGTTCAATAAAAACTAATACGTATACCCATAAGCTCCTTATCAAGTAATCATTTGAATACTGTCATAAACAGGCACTAAAGCCAACAAGCCACCTTAACATGTTCCCTAAAGTCCAGACAACTTGCATCAACGCTGTTTCACGGGATTTCTGTCTCAACAATAAACAACGCTCATAAGCAATCAGGCATGGAAATGACTCGGTATTACCATTAAACTCGCATTTCCAATAAGTCACCTGTACAATTTCGAGGTCTCCAAATTTTGGCACAGATTATAAACGCAGCCATCTACTAAAAACCGATCAAATTAGAAAAAAAAACACACACGCCTGAAGGCATTTGCTCTACGAAAAAAATGTTCAGAAAAGCTTTGTCACATGACAGTCATTTCAAAGAAGCCTGTCAGAGAATCCAAAATTTTCAAGAGTGAGACACTACACGTCTCAAGTCTAAAATGTTTTTTTTTTCTTACTTGTAAAGCTACCATATAGTAAATTATGTTCTCAGGAAAAGAAATAAACTTACCTTTCACAAGCTCGGACAGTCCATGCGGCAATTATCCATAATGAGATACTAAAAACCAAGAGTACAGTTCCTGGGCATATAGTCATTAAAGTCTTCATAACAAAACGTGTATTGAAGTTTATCTTATTAAGTGCTCCAATGCTTCTAGAGGAGGCATCAGTGAAAAGTTTGCTATGTAAAAGCATGACTCTGGCAATCAGATAGAGTCTTAAGAACATTGGTATAGATAAAATAATATCCACATCAGCGGTGGTTGTGGATGGGGCATAGGAGAAGGCAAGCCGGGCCGTCCATGTGAACGTATAATTCCCAGGTATGGGATGAATAGCACACACCAGTATTTCCAAGCAGATGAAGAAAATACGCTCATAAGTCATGGCTATTCTCCAGTCATCTGCTCCATTGTCCACCATGAACAACTGAAAAAATAAAGTAGAAAATCAGCTTCAGTATGGCATGAATGGTCCACAAGTGTTAGTGCAGATTTTAAAAACACATAACAGATGACTTTTAGCAATCATGGCAAGCTAAAGGTTGTAATTTTAAATGCTAGCCAGGTACACTATTTTTAGTAAAGGGTATTGGTATTCATTTTGTACAAATTAAATTAAAAACTTGCTACTCAGGAGCTAAAATTGTTTTCAATTCACGTTCCTGGACAATCACATAAATAACATCATTTTAAAACAGGGGCTTGGGCCTATCCGTCATGAAAATCCCCTCAGATGAAGTTGAAATGGACTTGCCTTATAACAAGTTGTTTTCCTCTTTCGGTCTGGATTTAAAGCCTTACACAATTCTAACTATATTCTCAGTGAAATCTATTTAGGGTGCCTCTGCAATCAGTTATACCCTATAATGCAACAACACATGAGCGTTCTTACAGGAAATCTTATTCTTGGCTTCAGAGAAAATCATAAGAGACCACAGACAAATGTGGCAGAAACATTTCTTCCAGTTTCCCCACGACTACTCTATTTTCTGTCTTGTCTTCTATTCGCCCATAGCCTTCCTTTGGATTATTCATTTATTTTCAATCTTTATTTAATAAAGATCCCCTTTTCTTGTTTCTGTGTTTCCTTCACACTACAATCAATGAAAACAACATGTTTTAAAAGGAAAAAACCAGAGAGAAAGCAAAGTAAATAAATATATATATAAATGAAGAGTAAAAGGGACAGAAAAGAGCATCTTCCTCTCTTCCCTGGCATCCTCCAGGCCCTGGCAGTCTAGAGACAAGCGTTTGAAAATGTGTGGTGGCTTTTTTGACTGCCACAAGGACTTGCAAAGGATACTGACATGTAGGCCCAGAAGCCAGAGGGCCAACCATGCTGCAATGCTGAGTCCCACGTATTAGGAAGACCTTTGTTTTGAGAAGCTATATATATTCCAAAGATACTGTACTTGCTGGTTTTGGAAATTACTATCAGGGATTGCTACAAGTCACACAAATAAAATAGTACTGTTCTTTAAGTCCGCATTTCCATTCTTACCCAAAACAGTATTATCCAGTAGATAGATATTCACCAAACTTGGCCCTGAATGACCTGGTAATGTGCAAAAATTAAATCCACTTCCAAAAGGGCTAAGAATCACCATAACTCCAAATAGTCAAAAGCTATGCAGCAAAGTCTCAGCTCAGTTCCAAGAAAGGTATTCCTTATGATGTTTTGGACAACAGTACAAACTCAGGACAAATACTTTCCAAGGTAACTGGTAAAGAAACGTCCATCTGTATATATCACTCTGATATACTGCTTACAAATAGCCTCTTCCTTCTAGGACTGGCCCTCCTTCCACTCTCCCCAATGCACTTGCTCCTCTCACCTCACTCTATTCTCTTTTTTCAGGCCCTTTTCACTACCCCTCTGCTTACTTCCCTAACTAGGCTGGTTCTCTCTATTGCATCTCATTGCTTCAACCATAATCCTAATGCCATTCTCAGCAGCATCACCCTTTATCTTTAGGTGAGCCTGAAAAGGTAACACCCAATCTGAAACCTGATATCCAGACTGCTGCAGGTGACCTATGGCCATCACCTACCTGTGCTATCAAGCTCAGCTGAACCCTCAGAGAAACCTTGTAATCATTCCCTCAGCCACCATAGATTGTTCTCCTCTAGGGCCACCTTTGTTCCCCTCTCTCTCAACACATACTTTCCCCACAGTATCAGAGGAAATACCCTCTATTTGATACTTTAGCCACAATCTTGCCTACAATCTTGCCCTTTATCCTTATTTCCCTCCTCTTTTGTTTCATGTGTCTAAAGCAACGTTTCACCAAAATCCAGTTCTCCTGCATCAATAGCCTATAGCCTAGTTCCTGTGCGTCTTTTCTCTCAGCAGTCTACGAAATCAAACTTCTACCGTTTACTAAAACAAAACACCCAAAGAGAACCAAGGCTGGCTTCACGCCTACTCTACGTTGTGTTTGTTTTCTCACTTCTTCATTCTCAAAGAACTTCCAGGCAGATCTTGTTCCCATTAGCCTACCAACACTACTCTTGCTAAGGTCACTCAAGATATCTTCATTATGAAATCTGATCCCCCAACTTAATTTGTATCTTATTTGTCCTGTCATTCCTGCTTCCCTAAAACAGATTTCTTTCCTGGGCTTCTGTGACATGTTGCTTTCTCCACCTGCTGCCACTCTTAAGGGTCTCACTGTCTTTCTCCCCATTCTGTGTCCCTACTTGGTATGGTTTGGATGTGTCCCCACAATATTAACCATCACACTACTCTACTGGAGCCCATCTCTGACTCTTCTCTCACTCTATACTTCCCTGGGTGGTATCATCCTTCACTCTCCATTACCAGATTCCTCCTATTGGAGAATATCTTCCATTTTCTGATGACCTCCTTTAAATGCAATTCAAGATGAACATCATTCAAAGGCCCACCATGGCCTGATGGATAAAATCTAATCTATACCCATAGCATAGAAGCCATTCTGCAATCTGGTTTTGCCTGTATCTCCAACCTCACTGCCTGCTATTCTACTTACATTTCCTTATGTTTGGAGAGTCCAGAAAATACTACCCTAATCATGCTTCTGGGTCTTTGTATATTCTGTTCCATGGCCTGGAAAGCCTCCGTCTAGCAAATTTGCATTCCTTCAAGATCAAACTCCACATCACCTCCTCTTGGATGTAGTAGATGACCTGTAAAAATCTGGAAACTTCCTCCTTTGTTCCACCATGATCCTTATATGTGCCTCTCACTGATGCTGTCACGTAAAGAACAATAAAGATTTCTTAATAAGATTGCCTCCCCTACTTGTTAGTGAGGCTCCATGTCTACCTAGTGGAGGATAAGAAATGCTTGATAAATAAACTTCCTTGTTATTTCTTAGTTAACAGTGACTATAATCACTGGCTAGGTCCTAATATTAATTAAATGTACTTGTGGAAGCTGAAAATACCAAAGCATAATGCTAGTACATGTATGACACATTCACCTAAACAATAAGTCATTGCAGCAGCATAATTTTGCAGTTCCATAGAGTCCAGATAACTTTCCTCTTTGGTAACTTCCTCAGAAAAAATGTTCTATTATATAGTTGTTTTTTTTTTTTTTTTTTTTTTTTTTTTTACTATCAAAGGTCTTAACATCTCAAATGATTTAATTTTGTCTTATTTTATCATAGCATATATTTTAATGCTATAATTGAGAAAAAAATATTTACTTGTATTCTCTACGTAATCCTGACCTTCAATGTTGCTTGCTTATTCATTTATTTATCCAGTGTACTGAATACTATGTGCCAGGTATTGGTCTACACACCAACCATACAGCCGCATTTACAGCAAACAGAGAGTCTGCCCATTGAAACTAACTTTTGCTAGGAAAAAGGAAAAAAAAAAAAAAACATAGTCAAGAAAGCAGACTTAGGGCAATCAAATAAAGTAATTATGCTTTTGGACATTGTTATGAAGGAAAGAAACAAGAGATGAAATAGAGAATAATATGTTAGAGATGACGGTAGATGTGGTCATCAGGGAAAATCTCTAGATAAGTACCATTTTATGCAAGATCTGGATTAAGAGAAAAGCCAGTCATGTAAACAACCAGAGGAATAATGTTCTAGGCACAGGAAATAGCACATTTTAAGGGCCCTGGGCTTTATAAAAGCTTAGCATGCATAAATAAATGAAGGAACATTAAGTGGCTTAAACTTAATGATCAAGGGGCAGTGTGAAAGGAGATGAGACTGGAAATAAGTTTGAAGAGACTAACTGGGACCAGACAAGCAGGCTTTTGTTGACCATCATATCCAGACCAGATTTCAATCCTACAGTGCCCTGTGGGAACCCACTGAAGGATATTAGGCAGAGGAATGATGTGATCTGATTTATAGCTTAAAAGGCTCATCTGTACTGCTCTGGGGATAACAGTATGAAGAAAGGCAAGTGTGGAAAGAAGGATAAAAGTTAGGAAGCTCTGCTGCATTTGATTGGCTGTTGTACCTTGTGACCTAAATTGGGGGACTGTCATGGAAATGGAGACAGTGAATGCACTGGACATAAAGTTTGGAGATCTTACAACATACCAAGTTCTCTGGGTCACAGCTAAAACAGCGTTAAGAGAAAAGTTTACAGCACTGAATGCCTATGTGAAAAAGTTAGAAAGGTATCAAATTTAAAACTTAACATCACTCTTAGGGAAACTAGAGAAATGAGAGCAAACCAATCCCAAAGCTAACAGAAGACAAAAAATCACCAAAATCAGAGCTGACTGAAGGAAACTGAGAAGCAAAAAACAATACAAAAGATCAACAAGTCAAGGAGTTGGCTATTTGCAAGAACAGATGAGAGAGACCACTAGCTAGATTAATAAAGAAAACAGAGAAGACCCAAAGAAACACAATCAGAAATGATAAAGGGGACATTACCACCAACCCAACAGAAACACAAAAGCAAACAAAGCCACAAAGGCTACTGTGTATACTTCTATGCACACAAACTAGAAAACTTAGAAGAAATAGAAAAATTCCTGGAAACGTACAATCTCCCTAGATTGAACCAGAAAGAAATGAAATCCCTGAACAGACCAAAAACAAGTTCCAAAAATGAATCAGTAATACAAAGCCTATCAGCCAGAAAAAGCATAGGACCAGGGGAATTCAAAGCCGAAATCTATCAGACGTATTAATATAAGTAAGAGCTGATACCATTCCTACTGAAACTATTCCAAAAAACTGAGAAGGAGGCATGTCTCCCTATCTTATTCTAGGAGGCTACCATCAACTTGCTACCAAAACCTGGCAGAGACACAACAAAAAACTAAAACTTCATGTCAATACTCTTGATGAACATGAATGCAAAAATTCTCAATAAATACTAGCAACCAGAATCCAGTGACACATCGCAAAGCTCATCCAGCACAATCAAGTATGCTTTATCTCTGGATGCAAGGCTGGT